GGGGGGGGGGCTAAATGACTGAGGATTAGGGATGCAAACATACCGTTATGATAGCACCGGCATAGATGAACGGCCAGCGAGCCCCGCGACAGGGACCATCAGAGAGCCAACCCCAGATGAGTGCCATTGCGATGAAGATTCCAGTCGAGACATTAGGCACTGACATGATGTTAGCAAAACATATAATCATTTTCTGTTTGCGGTATTGCTTGGCAGTTGCCTCACTCACATTGATTAATGTCTGTTATCGAGTATGTCACGCCGGGGACAGGCGCCGGGGTCGTATTGAAGCTCTTGAGCCAGTAGCCCATGGCTGCTTGCAGATATCCGTTGTTCCAAACAATGTATAGCAGAGCTGCCACATTTATTAGCCCTCATTCATACTAGTCATATTGGTATTTTGGTCACGGATGCGTATTGGCGTGGTCGAGTAGAACTACGCTCAGGGAAATCATGGAGATGACAGAGCGAGGTAAAATTGTAGTCGGGTTGACTTACGGAGCAAATACGTCTGCCAGCTCAGCAAGATCTTCTTGACCTTTGCTTTAGTCCAAGGTTGTTTGCCCTCTCGCCCAACCGCCTGCATTCGTCTGACCGAGAGCAAATGTTCCTCTTCCGTCGTCCACCATGTCTTCTTGCCGCCTTGAGGAAGATTTGGGAAGAAGACAAAACCAGCAACGGCGAGTGGTAAGGTAATGATGCCGTCGACAATGAACAGCCAGCGCCCTGATTAAAAGAATGTTATTAGCTGTCAAGGTTCCGTCAAAGGGCAATTGTCAGGTGATGCATACATCCAGCATAGCCATGTACACCCGACAGGTTATTGTACGCCGCTGCCTGCAAGAAACCACTGAAGAGAGTTCCGACCGACCCCGCCAGCCAGAAAATCATGGCTCGCTTTCCAATCTCGCGGGGTGTGTACCAACTGCCAAGCATGTAATGAATGCCAGGGTAGAATCCGGATCTGGGTTCTCTTGTTAGTCTGGAGATGCCACTAAACTCCGTATCATTGACATACTCGAACAGTCCCACAAGGAAGCGCAATGCATAGAGGGCTTTGACAGATTGAACAGACGCAGTGCAAATGGTGGCAATACCCCATCCAACCTCGAGGGCAGGAATGACCCATCGTGGTGAAATGCGAGTGAGCAAAAGGTTGGATGGGATCTGGCCAATCACATAGCCTACGGTCCAGATAGATGTACCTGTATCACTTGCGTCAGGTTTTGTCCACTGTCGGTAATATGAAGCTCGAGGAGACATGCGAGGGAACTTACTAGTGACCAATTCATTGCCGTACATCTGCATATCTTCCTTCATACCACTGAGAAAAGCATTGTTGATATTGCTCTGATCAATGTTCTTCAAGAAATATCCAATCGACGCAAAGGTCAGCACAAAGGCATCCACTTTGAACAGTAGCCTTCGTTGATCCGAAGGAAGCTCCCAAGTGTCCCAGATGTATCCCTTCCATGTTCGTATCGGCTTGACGAGTTGTTCTTGGGACTCGCTGGGTCCGGCCTCGGGGTCGGACTCGGAGATCGTCCTTGTGGCCTGCTCTGGGTGACCCATGACGAGGTAGTTCACGAAAACACGTGTTTGAGATCGTGGTGCTGTTGTTCGACTTGGTGTCTCAACACTATCATTAACGTTGAGCGGGCAGACCTGGAGAGTCTATATACCAGACTCGGTCCATAACGCTTTTCGTCCTGTGCCGAATGCATGCCCACGATGCTCCCATCATTCCCCGGAATCACGTCAATGCGACTAGTCCGAACTAATCCCCGGTTATCTCTCACTCGCTTAGGTCCATCAGCCCTGCAGAGCCACTATTGATGGCGGCATCGTGGATGCGCGGTGGCGATCTCGGCCGAGGGTTCGTTGGTAAGCAGGCTCTGGTACAATGTCTGCAATGGCGACTGATTGATTCCAACCGTGGACTGACTGAAATTCAAGCGACCGCCGACTACCGACTGGGTAGTTTTGGAAATTGGGAAGTGATGGATTCATGATGCGATTCTTCTCGTCTGGGGAATATTCGAATGCGATGTCTGATTACAAAACGAAATTGATGTGGCCTGGATTTATTTCCAGTAAATCTTGTGATATTCCATCAATGAGCCCATCATGGCAGATACAACACAGTAGGTTGCTCCGTCGTCAGGCAAAAGTCTCCGATTGGATTCGCAAACGGTCATCCCTTGCTCGCGAAATCTATATGGTGACACTATTCGGGTAATTAACCCTCCATCTGGGCGACAGGACATGGTATCTCATTGTAAGCGATTTTTCCAAACCTGACATGCTATATCAGAACATATTGTCGTCCAATATTCCAGACAACAATAGACACCTCTCATTCAGAGTGTTTTCAGCGCAGCTCGACTACGACTCAATGCCAAAGCCACCAGCTCCACCAAAAGGCCATTGCATCATATCACGCCATATACACACCATCATCCAGGAACCATCTTATCTATCGCACTATATTTACATGTTGTAGAGCGCGATTTACCAATACGCGCATAGCAAAGGAATATTTTTTTATTGGTTATTCTCATTCCCAATGCGCTGAGTTCGAGACCATGCTCTCTGCGTCTGGATCCACACTGTGGCTGGCTGGCTGGTCGAGCCTGTCTTGAGGCGCGATCGATCAATGCACACCCACATTAGCCATGAGAAGTCAGATGCCCAAGCTGGGAACAGTATCATGGACTCTCTTTTTTTCCTTTCAACCATCCTTAGAGTCACATTCGCGCTTGAGTAATTGAACCCAGATCACGCGTCCGATCTTGTCGAGTTCCTCCCACTTATCACGGGACGGGAAGAGGTTTGTCCTTGGCGCGAGCCAACGACATAATTTGTCGGATCGTGTATCAATCTCAAAATCTTCCTGGATCAATCCTGTCGACGAAGCGTTCCGTTTTGCTAATGTTTCCCGTATCAAAGTCGAGTGCGATTATACATGCGTTCGATTATCCGTGGCCACTTTGCGATGTACCTGACGGACTGACTGCGCGCTGCGAAAATCGTTGCTGCATTGGTGCCATTCGGTGACGAAGAGTTCTCGCAAGCGACAGAACATAGGCTCGACTACCTGGCGAAACACCACACGAGAGCCGTGTCAAAAGATATGTCTGCTCGTGGCAGTCGCCGGAAAGACGTCTCATCTCCTCAGACCCCAAACATTGCAGCAACCGAGTCGAGACCCTGTTTTTGCGATATCAAGATATCGCAATGGAATGCTCCACAAAGTTGTTCATAGTTGCGACTCAAGAGTCACGCCGTGAAACTTTTCCTTGGATGAGCCAAGATGAATCATAATGAGTGTAAGCACAGCTGGCCTTAGACGACGGTAAGACATTGCCTTGCTCTTATTGGTGAGCTGTGCCGCATCACTTGTTGTCAGCATAAGAGGGGGCTTGGGGATATAACCAGGCAACATCACCACATATTATCGAGTTTCAACTGTTTCGTGCTCAATCACCTTGGGAAGAAAAAGACAGGAAGCGGTTGCCATTTCCTTCAAAGTACAGCAAGCAAGAATGACGACCCTTGTGGATCTGCACGGCATAAGCCTGCCTTCGCGCTACGAAATCCGCCCAGTGCACCCGGATCATTGGGAATGGTGTCGCGCGCTCTTGACGAAAGAAATGCTGCTGCGCGCCCCAGTCTGGCGACCGCTCGTACGCAATCCCAAAGTTAAGACGGCACTGCAGCATTTCGAGGGCTTGAGGAAATTCCACGCCCATAACCTAGAGAGCGGACTCTCGTATGCCCTCTACGACAAGGAGTACGAATTCAAGCGGCCAGAGTCGGCGGCCACGGGTGGCGCGCTCTACTGGCATGAGATTGACATCGAGGACCCGCGGCTCGAGGAGCAAGGGCCGCAGTGGATGCTGGACAAGATGGACTTCCCCATCGTCGCGCTCGCGCTGTCGTACGATCTGTTTGCCCCGCCGACGAACGAAGCCAGGGCCATCATGGCAGATGTCGCGCCGCTCTGGCTACAGATGATGAAGCAGTACTTTAGCGACGCTTCAAGCACCATCCCAGGACTTCCGGTGCCAACCAGTCTGGGCCAGTACGTCCACAGATCCGGGTGTGTGACGCGAACGGGTTACGAAAGACAAGGGCTGGGGCGGCTCTTCTCGTGGTGGGTTTGTCTAGAGATGGAGGCCAAAGGTTACAAAGGCGTCCTCATCGGAGCAGGCAATGCCTCGATCAATCCAATCTATCTGCGCGATGATGCTCCATTCAAGAGTACCTTCATTTTGGAGCAGGATATGTCGCAAACGGAGATCGACATGGGTGAAGAAAAGGTGCGGCCGTGGCTGCACGAGGAGTGGAAGGAGTTCAAATACGTACTCGTGGACCTGACAAAGAGGGTTTCTTGATACCATCAAAGATCTGGTTCCAGCTCAAGCATTGTACCTAGGTAGTCATGGAGCGAGATGAGTAGAAATTGCATTGAACAAGTTGCTTGAAGTTAAAGGCTCATAGTCGCGAAATTAGCTTGGCTACATCAGTCAGCATGCGTGTAATCTAACTACGGTTACGAGACAAGGAGAAAGCTCCCCTTTCAACGCTGATTGTCCAAATGCGAGAGCAAAGCAGCGGAGATTATCTCTGGCGTATGATGCTCAATAGCAGGCTACAGGATGAGCTTGATACGTCCCTCCAGGAAAGTTTCTTCCATCGCTCGCGGTCCCAGCCACAGCCGTGGTTGTTATTTTCTTCTTTCCTTTTTTTTTCTTTTTCTTTTTGCTAGCACACTTTGATCGCATCTTTCCTTCACCTGTTATTGATGGGTATTCATCCACGTAGAAATGGTTCCTCTCGCAGGCCATTAGAGAGGGGACAAAAAAATAATTCGAGATAATTTTCGAGATTCGAACACGCGGCTTTCAGGTTTGAAGAGGTTATCTTTGACTTTCTACCATTCAGCCACTTGCCCTTTCTAATGCCCGAAGGCAAACATGGCTCACTTGTTTGTCCTTATATTGCCTGGTTAATCTTCAGCTTCTTGCGGGGGAGCAAACGATGGCCGCGGCGCGTTGCTACAGCAATAGATAGCCTCAGACCGCGACAGCGCCCTTAGTTCAGAAAGCGAGTAACTTGACAGCAAAAGCTTCGCGATCGATGAGAGGAGCTTTGCACGGTAGGAGTGTCTGGGTCCGCAGTCTGAGAACCACGCAATGGCTTTCTGCTCAATGAAGGTGACACAGGGTGGAGATGATCCCGAAGACCTACATATGTAGTGTCCAGTGATACCATTGGGAGAGAACAGTCGCTGCGTGTAAGCCAATTCAGCACAAGCCCTGATCCTAATAATATGCTGACTGCATTGGTGATGTTGCCACAAGGCCTAGTGGCGCATGCGGACCTCCAATCTTTTGTCGCTCTCTCTGAGCTTGCGCTGTCGTGTTGTGTGTAGCAATTTCTAGTGAGGCCTCCCCAACGTTGATCACTGCGCAAAGGCACAGCTTCCAGTGACATTCGGCGCACTTTGCGTAGGACGAAGGTGAAGGATCCTGCACTGAGCGTGACGGCGATGACGATGATCTGATCAACCTGTTTCTATTTGCAGCATGCAGTAGACTCGGTCAACCTAGGGAGCACGTCAGCCGCACAAAGTGCTTATCTGCTGGAAACTAAAGGCTTTTTTTGTAATTGGTAAAGTCGCAATGATCTGGTGAAAGCGGCATTACCATTTCAACCGTTTTTATCGTCTTCTTTTCCCGAGTTTCCAGGTCTGACACGACTTCGTGCAGGCCAGGTTGTGTCAAATTTTCCGCTGTTGTTACACTCTCTTCGACGTGATGGATTCTCATCTCAAATACCGAAGGCTGGAGGATATCTCGAGTGGAGTAGAGACGACGGCAAGTGACTTGCCAAATTGCAGTTTTGAGTTGACAGAGCAGTCATTACCGCAAAGATTGTCGTCTGGTGGGCTAGAGTTTGTTGGAGCAGACTACCCGGAAGTCGTGGGGGAATCCGCACACAAGTTCAGAATGAGCCAAACTCCTCCGCTCTACCACCAAGGTCTTCATGTAGTCGGAGATGATCATGATTTCGAATCAAGGTCAAATGACCTTGCTCGCAATTTCGATTTGCCAGCTCTGGAAGAGGGCCCGTACGTTGTCGAGCCGAATCCACACGAATCTGGCGAGGAGTCAGCAAAGATGCTCACAAGCCCAAAACCCGCGGAAGGATGGTGGCGCCGTGAGGATAGCAAGCGGCGAGTGTACATCGAGGCAGGTTTTGCAACCCTAGTTGTAATCGCAATTGTGGTTGGTGCGGTGGTCGGAACACGGAAACAGCACTCGTCATCTCCTAGCGACTCGGCAGTATCGCATCTTCTGGAGCCAAACGATGACGATATTCCGATAGGAACATCGTTCAATGCAAGCTTCACGATACCTGGGGCAAATTGTACCAACGAGTGTCGCTCGAGTTCATCGGTATGAAAGTTGCTGCGCTGCCCATAACTGCTTGTGATGAACACTGCCTGACATGACCATTTACAGGACTACAGAGCGCAAGTCTCGCAGAACCTTTGGGGCAATGCTACAGACAACCAGCCAGCGTGGGCTTGCGGGACTTGTTGGAGCGTCAGTGCCGGATATACGAGCGATGTCGTGGTACAGGTATCGGCATTGTGTCCCGCAACTGTGGGCAATGAACTATGCCAACAAAAAGATTTGAATTCGCTAAACGTGCGCCATGCAGTCGTTCATTTCAACCTATGCCCGGAGACAGGCGCCGTGAATGCAATCTTTGGAGATTCGGAGTAACTAGTGGGAGACGGAATGGCACGGCGGGTAGAATGCCCATGAGTCTGCATCGCGACGACGATGATGCTTCGATCGTGACACATCTGGAGCGAGACTCGACTGAGAAACAGTCATTGCTGCATCCGGAGGAAAGGAAAAGAAAAGGCTCAAGTCCTTCCATGGGCCGATGTATCCACAAGTCGCACCACGCCCGTGGGGGGGCCGAAAGCCCGCATTTGCCGTGCCATTAAGGCTGACGACTGCCGGTGCTCTTAGGAAGACACAGGATGTCGACGTGGGAGATGTTCCCATGGGCGGCAGGTATCGTGTCAAAATTGTCCCGGGCGTCATGTGCACAGGGAGCGTCCTAAAGTCCGAGGCTCGATCCAGTTGGCCGGGTCAGAGCGACAAGGCCGGAGTAAGGCGCTGTCCAGGGTCCCAAGGTGCAACTGTAGGCTGAGGAAAGGTGAGAGACGTGCTCAGCTGAGCGATGGAGACAGGCGGAGAGAGGAGATGAGGATTGCGCCTGGAATGATCCTACGAAAATGCACCGCCGATGCAACTTGTCGATTTCTTGGAGGCAACGCGAGAATGGCCGAATGGGCTTCGCTTCATTTCCAAAGGCGCGCGTTGGTCCGTCTAAAATCGGCGGGCGGAATGGGCAGACTTTTGACAGGTCGCCCTAGAGAAAAGAATAACTTCATGGACACCCCAGTGACTAGCGCCATTAGGAATCGAACCTAACACTCCATATACCCCCTTCCAGTA